GTCTGCTGGCCACCCACACGGTCATCCTTGTAGTGCCGTGTTAAGGCTCTCCTCCACTCCCAGGCATGTGAGAACATACAATAAGGTTTTAACTCCACCTGGAATTTCTACTGTTGATGAACCGTTTTTGGAGGCAATGTTTTTATATTACGCTTTATATCGTGTTTTTAACATTTTCTATTGGGTGGTACACATCATGATCTTGAAAACTGTGGATTTCATTTTTCAAAAATGCACTGAGCAAGTTTCTAGTCCTCATGAATCATGACTGGGAAGTTATGCTTGACATTATGCGCCAGAAATCTCAGAAACCACAGGGCTGGTTGAGCATAATGTCCAGTGCTTCAGATAAGGCCTGTTCCCTCAATGTGTGTAATGCACAAAGTGCAACATGCAGACAACCCGAGAGTTAATCCCACTGCTGGACTGTGCAAACTCTCGGAAATTTCAGTCTGGCACTGTACCTGTGACATGTAGAACTACACACCTGAACTCAGGGTCTCTTCTGACTTCAGAGCCTTTGCCAAAGCTGCCCCTCAGCACTGATTTATCAAACACCATGTTTGCCAGATTATTTGAGGAAAGCAAATGCGCTCAATTACATGGGGAGATAACATTAAGGGGCGGCATAGAAATGTTATAATAATAATAATAATAATAATAATAATAATAATAATAATAATAATAATAAAAAATGGGTCACTTGCATTTAAAAAAGCAGAAACCCTTCCTGCAGGCAGAAAACTACCACAAGGAGAGAGCTAGGGTGTGATCCCTGATGTGTTAGCTTTCTGTCTGAAGGAAGTTAGAAAACAATAACAACACCTTTAAAAATGCAAAAAGGATGTTTCCCATTAATAACGAGAAGCAGTGCCGTGCACCCCTGTTACCTCCTTCTAGGGGCCGAATAGACAGACCTGACCTAATCAGATGTCTTTCCATTTCCTTTGCGTGTGTAGAAATGAACCACTGACAAGATAAAGAAAGCACAGCTTTCCAAGGACACTGGAAGGCATCTTTTTATAGGTTTTTTCTTTTTTAATCCCCTCTTGTCTATTCTCCATTGTGCACAACATCCTCCCTGTCTGATTCTCTCTTTTCTCGTTTGCCAGTCATTGATTTCTTCCTGGGCCGCTTCTAATGATGCTTGAAATCAACCTGCCATTCTAGCTGGTGTGGCGAGAACGGCTATGCTGTACTTCTTCCTGTTGCGCTGCCATTGCCCAGGTTGGTGCAGATCAGAGACTGAGTTTTAGGGGGTTTAGAAGGAAGAAAACTCCAGGCTGGGCCACATTTGCAACCAGAGGGAAAAGAAGCAAACCAGAGAGCACTGGCAATGTCTTGCTTCCTTGGGCTTCAGAAGTCCCTGGTAGAATTGAGAAAGGGAAATACTCATGTATGTTCTAGCATGGGGAAACCAATCCTGTTCCAAGCCATGTAAACTTAGAAGGGAGAAAGTACACTTAGAAGCAAGTCCCCCACCAGGGATGCTGCTAGATCCCAAAAAGTGTCAGGACTAAGGTTCACGGGGTTGGGGTGGGGGGTGGGGGGGAGATGCACATCTTTCTGTGTGTGTCTGCAAAGGACTGTCTCCTAAAGACACTGCCTGTGAAAAGGGACCCACTCTTCCTACCACCAGCTCTGGTCCCCTGCCGCTTTCTCCCACCAAATCCCCCAAGGGCCTCAGCCTGATGGCTCCTCTTTGCATCACACCCATTTCACACAGCTCCACTCAGGTTTGGCCATGCCCCATCTTCCACAAGAGGCAGCCAAAGCAATTCTGAAAATATGTGTCATTTCCCACCTCAGCACACCTGCCTCCGTGTATTTGAAGGAGGAAATAGGGCACTGGCAAGGTGGTGCACAGAACGAAAACTCTCATGGACGTATTCCAGAAAAAAGGAACAATTCTGTTGCATAGACAACCGAGAGTCCTGTGGCCCATTAAAAGCTAGCTGTTTCATTATGTTCAAAACGTACGCAGACGTCCTCGGCTCCCCTCCTTCAGAGCTCAGATTGGAAGCATTGTTCTGGGTTTCAGCCATGCAGGCAAATAGTTGGGTGGTGGCAGAGAATTCTAAACAGTGAGGTCAGAAGTGAAGGAAATGTGGGAATCACAATCAGCGGTAATTATATTTTTCAGAGCTGGCTCCAGGTGTTTTGAAGCCCTTGGGAGGACAAGCTCAGTGGACCCTAGGGGAGGGGCTAGGCACCAAGCAGATGGGGGGAGCACGCATTTGCATGAGCCAATTTGCATGAGCCCTGTGTATGTGTGTGTGTCTCAAAGGCCCTGCCTCCTAAGGACACCCCTATTTGTAAAGGCTGATGAATGAGATTGGGAGAGGAGGGCATTGGATATCCGAAAAACTCTCAGGCAGGAAGACTGGGGTGGGGGCAGCAGGGGGTGAAGCACATGCGGGCACAAAGCCAGCTCATCCCAGAGGATCAGATGAAAGCGCATTCGTCGGCAAGTGCCTGGCCAAGTCAAGGAGTATGAGACCTGCTACAGATTCGATGCCCCAAATGAAAGACATGGGTCTCTGGCCTGGGGGGTGATCCCCAACATCTCCTCCTTTGCATCGCTCGCCGATGACCTTCTCACCAGCAGCGATGCCTGGCCAGAGCACAGGGCAGGAGGCAGCAGGAGCAGCTCCAGGGGGTGCTTGCCAGGACGCCCTGTAGGGTGGGCACCCTTGGAGGGCCCAGTGCCTTTCCTTGATGCTGCCCCTGGCGGTATGGCCAGCAACCATGCGCGAAGCAGGTTTTGCTGCAGAAGGTGGCCTCTAGCGCACCACAGATTGCTCTAGCTAGTTCGAACCCTGCCGAATCTTCCTGCTTCTCACAAGTCCGAAGGAAAGAGGGAGCCATGCAAAGGAAGTGGTGGGAAGGGCTGCAAACACCTGAGCACCTGAATGCGGAATGCCCAGGTTCAATCCCCTGCCGCATCGCCAGGTAGGGCAGGCAAAATCCTGGGAGCCATTGCCCAGAGAGCTGACCCAGGCTAAGGCAGCGTCGGAGGCTCCTAGGAAGTGCTTCGCGAGGCCACCGATTCCCACGGGAAAGGAGCAACGCACCCCTGCGCCTGTGTGTTCGAAAGGGAGCCCCACTGAGCTCCATGCGGCTGGGCCAGGGGATGCTTGCGCAGCTGCGGAGTCTTAAACTCACGCTCAGAGCTGAGCTGTACCACCGTTATGGCTGGGTATTACATGGCGAGGGGCGCGCTTGGAAGCTTACGATGTAACATTACAATTTACATCCCCCAGGATGGAAACTACGCGGGGCGGGGGTTAACAGCGGGGAAGATACATAGACTTAAGTTACACTAGTTGAGAACACAATCCCGTGCAAGTTCAGATGGAAAAACGGCCTACAACACCCGGCATGCCTCATCTGGGCACGCTGGGAATTGTAGGCCGTTTGTCTACTTAAAAAGGAGTCCGTCTTTTACTCACAGCAGGGCTAAACGGGGCAGGAACAGAAAAGGCGACTTAAAAAGTCATGAAGGGAGAGAGGAATTAAACAAAACGAAGGAGGGATAAATGAAGGAATCGGGAGACGGAGAAATGAAGAAGAAAGGAAACCAGTGAAAGCAGCGACGGGCAACTTGTAGGATTTCAGATTTTTTTTCGTCCTACAACTCCCATCATCCCTCACATCTGGCTGTACTGGCTAGGGCTGATGGGAATTGCAGGCCACTAAAAAAATGGGAAGGACACAAATTGCCCACCCCTGGAAGGGAAAAAGGAAAGATCGATCCCTCCCTGCCCGGGAAGCAGAGCGCGCAGCATGGCGCACGCCCCTCTTTCGACAAGGGGAGGGTTAAAGGCCACCCGCCCCCTCTTTTGCATGCCCTGACGTCACGCGCGCGGGGCGGGGCCAAGGAGCCAGCCCCGGAGGCGCGCGCTGGCGCGCACCCGTCCGAGCGCGCGCTCAAGGCGTTGTTTATGTGCGCGTCTGTTTGTGCGCGCGCGCGGGCGCGCCGATGCGCCGCCCCTCCCGCGCGCCCTGGTTCGTTCTCCGGCTGGCCACGCCGTTCCAGCCCGGAGCGAGCCGAGGCGGCAGTGCGGGGAAGGGAGGTGTCCTCTCGCCGGTGCTGATGTTGGAGCGAGGAGTCGCTGCCCTCCCGCCGCCGCCGCCGCCGCCGCCGCCGCCGCGCAGCTCCCGCCGCCGGGGAGTGCTCTCCCCAGCCCGTCTCGCGAGCGTCCGCCGGTGCCGCCGCCGCCTCCCGCCTGCTGCGGGGCTCGCCGCTCGCCGGGACCGAGGCATGGGGCACTGAGCCGAGGCCCTCTGATCGCCCGGGGGAGGGGGCAGTAGCGTGCGCGGGGCACCCGCTCTCCCGCTCGCTCGCTCGCTCGCTCTGTCTTTGCAAAGAAAAGAACCCAACCCTCCGAGGAGCCGGGATCGGTGGCCGGGGAGAGAAAGGACAGCAGGGGAAGAAAGCGCGGGGAGGAAGGAGAGGGCGGCAGCGGGGGAGAAAGGAAGCAAGCAAGGAAGACCCCGATTCGCCCACGCACCCGCTTTGGAGGGGACCCCAGATCCGCGATCGCGTCTGCCGCGCGAGAGGCGTCCGGAGCGCAGCGCGCGCGCCCGGGGAGATGACTTGCCGAGAGGACCCGGTCTAAGCAGTCCCGGAGGAGGGCGCCGCCGCCGCCGCCTTCCCTGTGTCCGCCGCGCTCGTTCGGGCAGCTTCGCCTCCGATCCCGGAGGAGACCGCGCTGGCTTGGAAGGAAACAGCTGGCCGCCGACAGGACGCGCAGCGAGCCGCTTGGAAGAGAGCGATTGGCCAGGAGCGGGGTCGCCACGGTCGCCCGCAGCCCACCCTCTCCTGACTAGTTTCTCCTCCCCGGGAGAACGGGAGCTTCGAGCGCGCTCGGCACTGACTTGGGGCGGCCGCATGATTTGATTTCCTCCGGTGGATATTCCATCCCTCCCGCGTTTTGATTTTTCCCTTTTTGGGTCCCCTCGTTTCTCGCTTGTTTTAACGGAGCCTTTTGGAGTGGATCCAGTTGATGCTGTTGCCAGTTTCTCGGGAGCATTCTTCGCTTATCGACCCGCCCCTTAGGTGTTGCTTCGTCCGTTTGAATTGGCACCCCACCATCCCGACGGCCTAAGGAACTCTCTCCAATGGCTGGGAAACTGCACAAGGGCCGGTTTGGGGGCTGGTGGACTACAGGAGCTTGCCTGGTGACGCTTTCCTACTTCCCAGGTGAGCGAGCGTCTGAACGCAGCACCCTCTTTCTCTCTGCTCTCGTGTCTGTGTCTCTCTCTGCTTGCCAGGTCCTGGCGGAGTCCAGCGCGAGTGAGATGGTCTCTGTCTGTCTCTGTTACGGGGCTGAGGAGTGGAGGAAGTTGTGACAATGAACTGGAGAAGCTTTGCTGGGCTTGGCGCCTGCCTGGGAAGCTCCGACTCCTCGGCGGTGTTGGGGCAAGGAGCTGGAGAGGATCACGGGCGCACCCCCTCCCCGCGATCCAGCCGGCAGGTCCCAGATTCCTGCCTTTTGAAATTCGGTCTTGCCCTCCCGAAGTCCTGCCCGCGATCTCTGCGTAAGGATGCGCAGAGGCAGACGCGGTCGGATCACAGTACCGAGGATCTCTTGCCCGTGCCTGCACCCTGTGCAGCCAGGTGGCAGGGATACCACGCGAGGTCTTTCGGGCCGTGGCCACCCTTCTTCCTTGGGCACATGCCCTGCTCCCAGCAGGCGCGTGGCAGGCAAACTGTTCCTTCCCGTTCCCCCAGCTTCAGTACCCCCCCCGCCCCGCTGCTTTGCTCTACTTGACGTTCTGAGAACGGGAGGAGGTGCAGCCTTTGGCGGGGGGGGGGGGGTCCCTTCTCTAGATCGTCCGTGTGCACCCAGCTGGGTTGCTCACCCACCTCGCCAGCCCTTCTCAGCCCAGATTTCTGCCTCGTGCTTTTGTCTGGCCATGGGTTGATCCAGGCACAGGCCAGCAGAGTGGCAAGGAGACGGAAGGAAGGGCTGTCCTGTCCGTGGGGATGATGGAGAGGGCTGGGGGAGCAGGGGGATGGGGAAAGGGGCAGCCCACACCTGTGGTGTTGGTGGTGTCGCTGGAGATGCCTGCCAGAGGCCGGAGCAAGCCGGGGTGTGTGCGTGTGTTGTGTGAGTGTGCTTACAGGGAGGATCTGTGCGTCTTGCTAGGAGATAGTTCTTCGGACTGTGGCTGCCGGGCCACCCGGACGTGCTTGTCGGGTGTGCGTGTCCGTGGGTCGCTGTTGCCCCCCGCGATCTGCCATGAAGGCACCGTGTGTGCTGCAGTGGGAGGGGTTGTTTTTTGGTGAGCAAACTCTGCAGCGGACAGAAAGGGGGATGCACGGGAAGGAGGCAGCTGCCGGAGACAGCTGATGGCTCGGAGTCCCAGCGGTGGCAGAGAGCTGGGCTTCGCCGTGTGTCATTGTGCGTGTGACTCATAGCGTCAGCGGCATCTGGAGAGAAAGCTTGTACGGGAGTCCCTTTAGCAAGCAGCTGGGCCGGTCGGGGCTCGCGGGATGTGCTTGCTGCTCCTTCCCCAGACCGGGCGCTGCTAGCCTTGCATTGCCCTCCGGAGGGGCAGCGTGCGAAGAAGCACCCTGCCCGGGCTCTCTGGGGAGGTGGCGATGCCGCTGACACAGCAGCAGGGGGCCGGCTGAATGAGGCCTGCGGGCCAGGGGGTTGGGCAGGGCGGGCGGGGGGGGGGGGGAATGCAGGGCTTTTGCTGCCAGGGGAGGGGCCAGAGCTGGTGCCCCGGGGTCATTTGAGCAGGCGGCAGGAGAGAAGGATGCCTGCAGAAGTGAATGTGTGGAGGGGGTGCTTTCTCACCTGAGCCCAGGTGAGGTGGCTGCAGGATCTCAGAGAAGGTTCTCTGAATGAGCAGTGCCGTGGATGGATAGGAAGCAGCCCCATCGCCTTGGGACTCCTTCCCCAGAGGATTTTCACCCGAACCGTGTCACTGGCCCCTGGTGCTCTCGTCAGCCCAGTGGCAGGATCGTGGCACGAAGGGAGCTGGGTCAAGAGCTGTGCTTCGTAGCCCAGCCCCAGCATCACACTGTGACACGATCATCCCAAAACTGGAGGGGAGGACTAGATTTTCAGGACATGGGTACATGGAGCTGAGGATATGGGGAACTTTAAGCCTCAGAAAAGGGAGGCCTGATGGCAGAAGAAACACCATCAGTATTGTGGGGGAGCCAAGTACTTCGGGTCTCCCCATTTTTCTTCCATAAGCTTAAATGAATGAGATTTACTCTATGAAATCACAATCCAAGCAGGCATTCACTTTCCATATGTGTTCCTTTACTGTAAGGGTGAGGACTGAGCAGCCCTTTCTCCAAAGGCAGTTGGACTACAACTCCCATCAGCTCTGCTCAGTTGGGGCTTATGGGTATTGAAGTCCAGCAGCATCTGGAGGGCTCCTGGTCTCCACCCCTGCTTCACTAGGTAGGTAGTCATGTACTTAACACACACGCACTCGTCACTGAGGTCTGTCTTTCTTTGCCATTCCAGGGCGGAAAAAAAAGAAGCATATTATGCAAGCTTTCTTTCTGGGAATATCATGTGTTTTAAGAGCAGAAAGAATGTGATATTTGTGTTCCAAAGGCTTTGGCTTTTTGCTTCCAACACTCAAGATTTGTCACTGAAATCTGAGAGCTGACATAATACACAGGTTCACCAATCGCTGAACGAGATGGCTGGAATAAGAACATCGCTTGGAATTTGAAAGGCGCATATCCAATCTGAGGGGTTTTTAACTAGATTTTCACACAACTGAGCATGGAATTTTGAAATGTGAGAGTTGCGATGTGTGTTCTGAGAATGTAGAGGGAGCAAAGCAGTTAGCTCCGAGTGGGGCATTTGCCATGTTCCTTGCCTTTGGCCCAAATCTCTGCTCTGCGTTTATGCAACAACTACATACATGGTGGTTTAAGTTATATGTAAAAGAGGGAAAGCCCCTGCCCCAAGGAGCTTACATTCTCCATGCTTAGGGGGGAAAGCTGAAGAAAGAGGGAAGCCAGGGAGAGACTGCAAAGAAGAATAGTGAACAATTGTAGTCACACTTCTGTAGCCTTCCTTCTACTTCTGCGTGCAGGTAGAGGGGTTCTGCCAAAGGCTTCTAGTCACAGCATGGTGCCCATTCATTCATTCCATTCATATTCTGCCTTTCTCCCATTGTAGAACTCAAGGTGGCTACCTGAGGTTCCCAGGGGGTCTCCCCTCCAGGCTCAGGCCAGCCCCAGGCTTCCTGAGCTTCAGCAGGGTGGGCGCCTCATGTGATTGAGACATTCATTCTGTTGTGTGATTCAGCACATGTCAGCCACCATGTTCTCAGGTGACAGAGAGAGCCATGTTCCCTCCTTTGGGAGTTCAGCTTACATTGCTAGTTAAGACCACATCTGCTCACGGGAGCAGGGTAATTAACTCCACTCCTATTGACTTCATTTAGGAGCTGAGGGTCTGTTCAAATCCAGAGCATGAATTTCCTGGGCTCACTGCTGTATTTCTTAATGAATTCCCTTCCCTCTCACACTCTCAAGGGGAAAAAAAACCCAAGACCCAAACCACTTTTATGTCAAAGAAGGCTTTAGTAACAACTCTGGCAAAAGAAGACTTTGCTTGAGTAGCATCCTGCAGCGATGAGTTCCATTGCTTAACAGGAAAGGCATGATGGTAGTTGGGAGAGGACAGCTATGTTTGTGTGCATGTTGTGAATCCTGAAGTCTGGGAATCTGCTGATCAGCAGGAGGAAACAAGAAGTGGGGCATTCCACATGGATTCATCCTGCTTCCCAGGTCAAAAACCCTCTTTCTCCTCACCCCATCTCCCCGCCCCCCAGCAGAATTTCTTGGAGAGAACAGAGCTGTTCTGTTGTGGGGTCAGGCTGCAACAGAATCAACAGGCGGTTTGTGAGATTTTTCCTCTGCATTCCCTCGTACATAGTTAATGTACAGCACTTCAATGCGGATATATATGTCTTTATTACACTGTCCGCTTCGTCGGTTTGCTTGCCTCTCCTTGTTACAGTGTTTGCTTTTTCTTACATACAGATAAAAAGGGATATATTGCCATAAAAGTGATAACAGATCTCCTTAAAAAACAACAAAGGCCCCACCTCTGGTTCACATATTCGGTTTTAGTACCATCAGCTCAACAACCCATAATGCATATGCTTCCTGCAGTCTGTGATGCAAGCTGCGTACTTTCCTTTGCCAAGTCTATAGCAAGATGTATCCGGCTTGGGTGGCTCAAGATGCAAAGGCGGTGGTGGTGCATCACTCGGTGGAATCTGGAAGGACAAAACGACAGGCACCTCAGGAGTGCTGGATGCCACCTTTAGCTGCAACGCTATGCATGTTTAGACAGAAAGAAGCCACGGGACTATTTTCTGTCTAAGCTTGGATAGGATTGCACCCTTAGTGGCTTTTTAAAAAAAGAAGCAATTATTTGCCTGTCATGGAAATGGGTGCGATATGAGGCCCAGAGAGGGGAGGAGCCTCACAGAGTCTGCTTCACAGTGGATGGTGACTCTGAAGTGGGGCTGCCCATTCCCAGGTCACCTCCTCTGTCACCTCCGATTGCTGGGATACCAGGTTTCCATGCGCAAATTCCTGCTCAGGAAGGGCCTCCAGACAAGAGCTGATGTGGGGATGGTGTCATTTGGAGCATCCAAGGCCCTGGTCTGGCCAAGGCCTCCCGTCTGCCATAAGAACATTTGTGCCATGACTTCTCAGAGGGACATGGATCTTGATTTTCCTCGCCTTCCTTGTGGAGTTGGATTGATTCGTCTCCTCCATGCTTGAGGCTTGAGCATAGGGTGTGCTGAGCAAGGGAACGGGGCTCTCTCTGCGTTGCGCATGAAACTGTGGAGTTTGGCTTCCAGCTCCACCATGAAGCGGCAGAGTGGGAGAAAGATAATCTCTGCCTCAGTTTCTCTATCGGCCAACATGGGGCAGATCAGGAGGCTCGCAACCTGTTTGCTGTTTCGATGCTGCTGTGCATGGCACAGGGACAAGGGTCACCCCTTGGGAACCTTAGGAAAAGGCTGGGCCATGAGTCTAAATACGCACGCTCTTTTAAGTCTCTGGAAAACCATGAATAATGGTAAGAGGTGTTTAATTTTTGAGCGTCTGAGAAAGAAATGTGGAGCTGCTATGGTTCAACCCTGCCTCAAAGCTACAGCCTGTAATTTTCAGCATGCCAACTGGCTTTGATTGGCAGT